CATTTTGTTTTTTTTATCATATTCAATTAGTATAGGCTTGTTCTTAAAATTTACACTCTTGTTTAATATTTGCTGTATCTCATGACAACAAAGTTTACACAATAATAATAAAATTGTACATTTCCATGAAAAAATTAATATGGCTCATAAATACAACAACAAAAAATCTTCTCTCTATTTTAGAAATTGGATCAAAGGAATATAATTAACCCCTTATATTTAGACATAAAAAAGTTAATAATTTTATACCTAGTGACATAAAAGTTGCCTAATAAGAGGGAGACTGTGCGTTGTTTCCCGTTTGTATCCATCCCCCTTAATTTAAAAAAAAAAAACTCCTATAAAAAAAAAGGAAGGAGTATTAATGGAGCCACGAATGATTATAAACGAGGTCAAATACATAGTGGCGAAGTGTTGAAGATGCAGACTTGCAGGGCCTGGATCCATATTAAGAAGGGGGAAAAGGAAAAAAAAAATAAAGAGGAAAACGCTGAAACTGCTCTAACTTAAATGAAATTAATGGTATTGGCAAAAAAAGATAAATGAAATTAATGGAATAAAGTCAATTAATGCCGCAACCCTGCATCAAATCATCAGATAAAATTAAATAATTAATGAACAGGACGGCCACTTTAGCCTTCAAGATGCCTTTCTCTAGTACATATCTCTTCGCCTTCTCTTCATTTTCTGCAACTTGCCATAGATCTCAACTTCCAACACAAACACATGGAAACCAGGCTTGGACTGGCTTGTTGGAGCTTCCTCGTCGGTGCTCTTCTCTTGTTTATGGTATTAATTAATCTAAATTTCGTCAATCAATCACTTTTGTTTGACACACATTTTGTTTATCTATTTGTTGACTTTATTGATTTATGATGTAATTTTCAGTTTTTAGAGAGCCTCTGTTTCTGTTTCTGTTGATAGCTCGGATTACTACTGTGTCTGAATTTTCAGTTTCATTCTTTTTCCTTATTAAAATCTGCAGCTCGCATATGACGGTGGGACTAGAAATATAACAATAGCATTTGGGAGAGATGTTGAACTGAAAGAAGCATCAACTGATATGCAGAATCTTGAAACAGATGGCCATGTTCTTCCTAAAATTACTCAGGCTGGAAAAGAAGAACATAAAAAGATGAAGGGAAAGGATCACAATCATATGGACCCAGAACTGAATGTGTTTTTCACCCCAAATGATCTGAAAATAGGCAAGAAAATGCCAATCTATTTTGCCCAGAAAAACATTTCAGCTTCTCCGAAATTTCTTCCCAGAGAAGAATCTGACAAAATCCCTTTCTCATCCAAACACTTCCCTTCCCTCCTGAAAATTTTCTCTTTCCCCAAACACTCCCCTCAAGCCAAGGCCATGAAATACACACTCAAGCACTGTGAATTCCCACCCATGGAAGGCGAAACCAAGTTCTGTGCCACTTCCTTGGAATCCCTCCTTGACTCTACACGACAAATCTTCGGACCCAATTCTGAATTCTCAATGTTGTCCACAACCCACCTCACAAATTCCTCTGTTCCCTTACAAAACTACACAATTTCTCAAGTTAAGAACATCTCTGTCCCTAGAGTTATAGGGTGCCATCCTCTGCCATACCCTTATGCAGTTTTTTACTGCCATAGCCAACAGAGCGATACTTGTTTGTTTGTGATCATGCTTGAGGGTGAGGATGGAGCAAGAGTTAAAGCTCCTGCAATATGCCACATGGACACATCTATGTGGAACAAAGATCATGTGGCCTTCGATGTCCTTAAGGTTCAGCCTGGAACTTCCCCTGTCTGCCATTTCTTCCCTCCTGATAACCTTGTCTGGGTTCCTCTGTCTTCTGCTCTCTAATAAGTAATAACATTCACAGAATAGTGAGATTTAGATATGATATGTTAAGTTTGTGAGGAGTCTCTACATCTAGCGGAAAACTCTTCTTCTTACTTTTAAGTATAGTTTATAGATCATATGTTAGGCAGTGTTTCTTTAAAGTTGTTTGGTAAAACCACTGAAGCCTAGCTATCAGCTGTACGAGCTTCTGTGTTGATAAACTGCTAGTTTATGACAAACCTTTGTGCTGCCTATGAGACTAATTGATTTATTTGGAGAAATTAAGGAAGCTAAATCATCTTAAAGTATTTATATTTATCAAATTTTTTCAAACTAATTTACTATTTTTACAAATTGACATATAATCTAATGATGCACATAAATATTTTAAAGAGATTGGTAATTTAATAATTTACTTAATCTTTTTAAACTGGTCAATTGAGTCTTATAATAAGAACTTAAAATAATATTTAATTAACAAAATGCTAAAGAGCTGACTAGACTATTGTCCATATCACTTGGGTCTTCTTTGGTCTGCCTGGAAGAACATTTTTAATGGAATAAATATAAATATAGAAAATATATGTACAATATTCATCAAAATGAAAGCAAAATATTTTTTGCGATATGACAGAAAGAGAAGAATGCGAGCAATTAGATCTCCAGATTCCAAAAAATTATAATGAGTTTCAAGTAATACAAAGACAAATTCATTAATAGGACTAAAGCTTCTTCAGTGTCTAATTTTTTAATTCGTATAACTTTTAAATTAAATATATTACTATTTGAGAAAAACAACTCTTCGTTATTTAGGTCAACAAATATTAACGAAGCCTTATCTTCCATTATTAATTGCACAAAATAAAGAGATTGGTACAATGAGTTCAAACATCACACAAACTCACGGGAGTCAATTTTCCAGACGGTGCAGTTTTTTAATTGATTTTTCCCCACATGCGTCGCAATGATTTTATTAAAAAAAAAAAAAGAAGAGGAGCAAATTCATTTTTTTTGGTGGAAAATCAAAATTGGATTTTATTAAAAAGAAAAAGAGGACAAGTTTGAAGTGAATTCTACAAAAAAGAAAAGAGAATAAGATTGAATTTTTAGTGATCAATCGTGACTTTGATTCAGCTCCATGGCAGGTTTGCATAAAATGAAAGTCAATGGCGGTGGATGTGATCGTGTCATTTTATTTGTCAGTTTGCGTAAGATAGTTACTTGAGGCTACAATTTCAAATGATCTTTTTTAATTTATGAACGTGATTAATGTAAACAAATGCCTGCTTCCTATATCAAAAAGGTAACTTAATTTAGTTTTACGCTTTAAATATGTAGGTAAATGAATTTTTGTCAATAATAGCCCTGAGAAAGTTACATGAAAAAAATGAGAGAATATTTGTCTCGCATTTGATAAGGATACAGGTGATTAAAAAAATAATAAATGTTTTAAATAAAGGCAAATTGTTCTTGTGATAAGGAACTAAATTACACTCTCATTTGTTCCTTATAAAAAGAAAGGGACTATTACCCCTTATCTTAATTATAAAACTTCATTAGTATAGTATAAACGATGTCTTATAATTAAGACAGGAAGTAGTATTATGTTTGATGATTAAAGATTTTTTTTGCAAAAAGAAAAAAATTTCTGACCTTCGTAATTTGTATTGATGTGAACTGTGCTGGATTTAGAATAATAATCGTTTGTTGAAGTCAGAATACGAGCTGCCAAGATGATGGGGTGAGGATGGACAATGAAGTTGAACATGAATATATATATATATATATATATTATAAATAAATACATCAATTAAGCTCGTTGTCATTGACTTTGTCTTTTTTATTTTTGCGTTCACTAATCACTATCATCTAGAGAACTTGATCTCAATCAGTAAGTAACTTCTAGATATTCAAATATTCAGGCTAATTCAACGATAAGTTATCAGTATTTGATGCTTCCTTTAATAAAAAATTGAATTATTTGATTAAGTTTAGCTTCATATGATAGGTATATTAGAAAATGAAAAAGTATTCCTCAAGTATTAATGTTGTCATTTACTACCTCCCGTTATCAATATAAGTGCTAATTGACTAATTTGAATAAATTAAAAAAAACTAGTTAAGTTAGTTATATATAATAAATAGTTGTTGTTTTTTCTAAAATACCTTTGCTAATCAAGTGTATTGGTTAGAACTTTCATTATTATAAGAACTACGTTAGAAAAAATAAATAATTATGAGAGGCAAAATAAATTAGCTACGGTCTTGTATTTAAAATCAAAATAAAATTCAAAAACATCTTATATTAAAGACCGGAAGTAATATATTCTTATAACTTTATTAAATTATACGATTGACTGAATTTGTGGCCATTGGCTAGCATAATTATTATCCCACTTATTTGAAGTGCTCTATTTTGTTTTCATATCCTTATACTCCTCCACTTTTTTATACAGGACTTAATAGTTAAGTTGATTTTGGTCTTAAATATAAGACATACTTTTTATATTTATCAATTTTTCCTGAATTATTATTATGGATACTTCTTCAACCATAATCAAGTAGAAGAAGGAGGGAGGATATTAAGGAAGATGATTACGGTGTTTTAGGAAAAACATGTCATATTTCTTATAATTAACTAACTTATCTAACTTTCTTAATCTAATTAAATTAGTTAAATATGTCTTATATTAAGGACTGGAGGAGTACTATGGGATGGAGGGAAAAATGAGAGAAAAATAGGAAGAAAAAATATTAAGAAAAAATATGACTATTTTAGAGAGTTTTTTCTCTTTGTATTTTTGGCACGCCATATTTTTTTTCTTCCATTTAAATAACGGGTTAGCATCGAGAGCCCCTGGCTTCTGTTGCCTACAGGGTAGATTCTTTTCTTTTTTTCCCTTCCCTCTTCAGATTTTTTCTCTCTACTATTGAAGCTTAGATCTTTGACCGTCGTTTTCTCAATCTAACTCCAGTCTAAATGGGCCTGGGCCACATTTGGATAACCATCGTCGAGGCAGATAGAAGGTGGCCCAATGGGCTTTTCCAGAACCGAACTTTGGCGGAATAAAAAATCTTCTTTCAGTGCAAAAAAAAAAAAAAAACACTTCTTGTCGCTGTTTCAGCTTTTGCTTCCAATTCTCTTCCTGCATAATGGTAGCTCCGGCCATCATACTTCCCGCGACTGCGAACTTATCTATCGCTTCTCGCAACGTAAACTCATCCAACCTCGTTTATTCTCACAGGTTCGTATAACTATCATCAATTGACCTGATTAATCGCGTCCAAGTGGAATTATAATACTCCTCCGGTCCTAATTATAAGACCCAATTAACTTATTTGAGGAGATTAAGGAATTAAGTTAAGTTGGTTATTTATAATAAATAAGTGTTGTTATTCCTAAAATATCCTTGCTAATTAAGTATATTGACTAAAACTATCATTATTAGAAGGATTATCTTGGAAAAAAATGCATAAATATAAGAGAGAAAATGGATTGGGTCTTATAATTAGGACCAAATAAAAAGTCAAATTGGGTCTTATAATAAAGACCGGAGGAGTACTTTTTACTTCAAATACTAAGCTTGGGATGCTGTTTCACAGAAACCCATGGTCGATAGCTTCTTCCTTGCCAAGTCCATACAGGGCCCGACAAAAATTGGTAACACCCCTATTTTACTGTTATTTTCAGCTGGAATTGAAAATTTGGTAGTCATTCAAAACTAGGAAAGACGAAACTTTCCGGGCAATTTGTTTCACCCTAATGATTCCTATTTGATGCAATTAGTGCCGTGAGTAAGCGGAAACTAGTACTCCTCCGGTCTTTAATATAAGACTCATTTAACTAATTTGATTAGATTAAGGAAGTTAGGTGAGTTAGTTAATAAAGACATTTTTCCTAAAACACCATAATCATCTTTCTCAATACCTCTGTCCTTCTTTTATTTGATTATGGTTGAGGGAGTATCCGTAGGGGTAATTTAGAGAAAATTGATAAATATAAGAAATGAGTCTTATATTTAGGACCAAAATCAACTCAAGAATTGGGTCCTATATTAAAGACCGGAGGAGTATATTTTTTCACGGCAGGTGACTTGTATATGATTCCAAACTTAAACCGTATATTTTATGTGATCTGTTTTGTCGGTCTGACCAAATACATTTTACAAATTGCATTTATGGATGACTTATGTGGTTACGAATTCTGCATATGGACTATTTCATCTTGACAGTGAAACATTGTTTTGATATGTCATTTTTATTTAATCCAGGTTTCTCAAGTAAAAGCTTTAAAACTTGATGAGAAAAGCATCTATGATGCTAGCACAAGGCATGCAATTATCCCTTTCCTCATTCAATTGCTTTGTGTACCATCATGTTACTGTTGACCAATTCTGTTATTTTTTGTTATGTTCATGGCCTTGCTTTGCGATTGATTGTATTGTGGATGGTATCTTTATGCTGCTTGTGGAAAATTATGTTTAAAAGAATTTCGTTGGAAAACATAACAGAAACTTTCAGCTAATATGTTGAAGAATGATGATAAATATCATGAACCATCCATAGCTTGACTGTAAATATATCTTTTTAATAAATGCTTAAGATTTCATCTGAATCATTAATGCAAATATTTTCCTCCCCAAAAGAATTTGGAAAATCTGAAGCTGAATCTTTGTTCCATGGGATCTGTATCTTGGCGGACTCTCATATGGGCATGAATTTTTGTTGCTTTATCTTTTCATTTTTGGCCAGTTGAATGTGAGCAAATAACTTATCGATTTTCCATTTTATTTGTAGTTATGGCGCAATAGAAGCTAAAAAGGGGAATCCACCCGTAATGCCAGCAGTCTTCACTCCTGGAGGACCTATGGGTCTATCATCTGTGTTGTTCAGAAATAGGATCAAAGGAGTATAATTAACCCCTCATATTTAGAGATAAAAAAAAAGGTTTAATAATTTTATGCCTAATGACTTAAAAGTTGCCTACAAAAGTTCCCTAACAAGTGGGACACACTGCGTTTTTTCCCGTTTGTATCCATCCCCTTTAATTAAAAAAAAAAACTCCTATAAAAAAAAGGAAGGAGTATTAATGGAGCCACGGATGAATATAAAGGAGGTCAAACACATACTAGTGAAGTGTTGGAGACTTAAAGATGCAGATTTGCAGGGCACCCAAGATTAGGGTTATGGGCTCAACCCACCAACCTGCCATTAGGTGGCGGTTGGGTGGAAAAAACTAAGAATCATTTTAATGTGGTTCTTTTCAGTCCATATCTGCAAACCTGTAACTTGTCAGCCTGTTTTTTATTTATTTTTATTTTTTTACAATTTTTATTTTAATTTAAATAAGAAATTTTTTTTATCATTTTCACTTAATTTACATACAACTTTGTACTTTGTTAGAGACTTTGATTTTTTATTTTTTTTTATTGTTTTACCATTTTTATACTAATAAAATAAGTATTGACAATGAATTATATGTTTATATTTCAAATTTTGAGATTAGTTTAGTTATAGAATTATATGAAAATATAAGAATAAGAAGAATTTGGTCTATAGAAATTTTTAATTTAATTTTAAAAACTTTAAATATATGTGTAAGAAAATTTTTTTAAAAAATAATGGAAGTTGGCGGGGCGGGCTGGCAAAATGTGAGCCAGCCATGAGGCGGTCTTTTAAAGACCCACTCGCATGGTCTTGAGCCTGCGGTGGCTGACCCGTAACCGGTAAGTTAGCCCATTTTACCACCTCTACCCAGGATCCATATTAAGAAGGGGGAAAAAGTGAAAACACTGAAACTGCTCTAACTTAAATGAAATTAATGGTGTTGGCAAAAAAAGATAATGAAATTAATGGAATAAAGTCAATCCTGCATCAAATCATCAGATAAAATTAAATAATTAAGGAACAGGACAGCCACTTTAGCCTTGAAGATGCCTTTCTCAGGTATATACCTGAGATCTCAACTTCTCTTCATTTTCTGCAACTTGCCAAAGATCTCAACTTCCAACACAAACACATGGAAACCAGGCTTGGATTGGCTTCTTGGAGCTTCCTCCGGTGCTCTTCTCTTGTTTATAGTATTAATTAATCTAAATTTCGTCAATCAATCACTTTCTCTCTCTGTCCGTTTTCTTCTTGTTGGGTTTTCGGCCTGTAAGTATTTGTTGCCTTTCAATTTCAATGCAATTGATTAGAAAACATGGGTTGGTCTGGAATCTGGACATTCACACTGCTTTAATTTGTTCTTACTTCGATACGAAGCACCTCCCTTCCACTCACAAGCAGCCTCCATGTGGGTGCTTGCTAACATTTTGTCTCTTTAAAAAATTATTTTATATTTTCTTTTGCTTTTAAAAAATAATAGAATTTAACCACAAATATCATTAAAAAAAACGAACTCGTCAAAATATAGTCCAATCCCGAACAATTCAAATGTCACAAGCTTCACTTTGTTAGTCCCAAAGGCAACAAAAAAGTCTGATGACCTAACTAATAAGAAAGCTTTTAGTTACATATCTCCCTTTGGCCCACTCATATGAATTGTGGGCGTAGGAGATGACTAGTTGGTGTTTCAAAAATTTTATGTATTAATAAATCCTACAACTTCAAATATCTAGTAGAAAATCTTTTCTGTTATATTTATGCTCAACTAAGAAGATATTACTCCTATACGAGTATTTCATTATATGTATATAAAGTTCTTAATTATAAGCAAGTCACCCGGTTTCGCGTGAAGCAATGACACCCAAGTGGACATTTGTTTCTTTGTCTACGGCTAAATAATACTCATTCGGTTCTTAATATATAAGACCTATTTAACTAATTTGATTAGATTATAAAAGTTGGGTAAGTTAGTTAATTATAAAAAATATAACATGTTTTTCCTAAAACACCATAATCATCTTTCTTAATATTCTTCCCCTCTCTTCTATTTGATTATAGTGGAGTGAGTATCTATAAGGGTAATTTAAAAAAAATTAATAAATATAATAAATAAGCTTTATATTCATGACTTAATCTGACTTAATAATCAGGTCTTATATTAAGGATCAGTGGAGTAAATTGATTTTCTTAGGCCATAACTCAATAGCAGATTGGCAATCTAGGAGGAAGAAGAGGAAAGTTAGGGGACGCGAGGAGCATCAAGCTAAGCCTATCCCCAACATAGATGAGTTCCCAAGATATATAAATCGCTTTGGCCAAAAAATAAACAAGATATATAAACCGCGACCCATGTAGGCACGTATAAACTTGCAAGACTCAACTTTTTCTACCGGAAAAAAAAACACACACGCACACACACTAAAACTCATATTTTAAAGTGTTTTTTTTTCTGCGTTGGTTAAAAAAAAGTGATTTTTATTGCATGAAATAAATATGTGAGAATTGACAGGAGTTTTATCTCATACTCTATGTAGTTCCTATTATAAGCCATTTATAACCAATTCAATCATACCAATAAAAATAGTTAAAAATATTAAATTCGTCATAAAATTCAAATGAAATTCAAGATGCAGAAGGGAGGTTTTTTCTTTAAAGGATATTTTTAATTAAGTAAATATAAAAAATATATTTTATTACCAATTTCCTAATATTGTATTAGTACCAAACAAACTTATTGTAATCATTATTATATTACCTTATATTTCCACCCGTCACATTACATTACATTCCCCTACTTACGTTACATTACATTCCCCTACTATTCAGTGGAGCAAACGGGACATAGTTGACTATTAATTCCCACTATTCCAACAAACATAACAACTATACAATACATCACGGAGTATTGTGGAAGCTATGGTCCTTCCATTAATTTATTGAGCCGACTCATCTTCTTCAGTTTCGATGGGAAACCACATGAAGGAGTTAGGCTTCACATCGAAGTCCCTCACCAAAAGATCTTTGTCCGCATCAGACACGGACGGCTGATTCTGAAGAACAAGATCTTTGATCAGTTCAGGCATGGGCAGTCCCGTCATCTTCTTCTCCCAGTAGGCTTCGAGATCTTTTCTGGCATGGCTAGCGGTAGAAACCTGCAGATATATTCAAAGAGAAAAAGAATCGATCGGGAGGTTTATATATATGTATGGCGGAGAAAATTGAAAGAGGGAAATAGCGGATTTTGCAGAGAGAAGAAGGAGAAGAAGAAGATTAATTACCAGAAGAAGAAGGGAGAGTATGAAGACGAAGGAGAAAGTGGGCTTCATCCTGGTGTGAGTCTGATTGGTGTATTTCCAGAGGGGTCGAGTAACCCCTTGCAAATTTATAGGAATTAGGAAACCTCTCTTTCTTGCTTGAGTTATAGCTGTAAAGTTATTCGTCATCAATCTTCGCCGCACATCGTTTTGACGCGTGGATGCCTTATTTAAAAATAGAAAATTAGTAATTGGAAAATATCATTCAACTTTTTTTTTTTATCAAATTAATTAGGTTGGTGTTATGAGTGGCAGATATATACTCTACTTTTTATGTAAGCAATTGAATTGAATTCAATCCTCGTTTTACGTAAGAAGCATATTTTTTTAAGTTTAGAAAAGTCTGCTATTTGTATGAGATAGCTCGGTTTTTCCTGTAAATAATTAATTGTATCCTTACTAAAAAATTTGACAAATGCTTCTCCTTTCAACCTGTTAATAGCTCCAGTTTTAATTATAAGACTTTATTTATAGTCTACAAACAATATCTTATAATTAGGATGGAAGGTAATATATGACTCTCTTAGTTTACAATAAAAAAAATAAAAAATAAACATATTTTTAGGTTTGAAATCTTTAATTTAGACTTTCAAATATCTAAACCCTAATTTTAAGGCATAATTTATTTTGTTATTTATAAAATTTTGTCAAGTGAATGTTTGTGTAATCAGAAAATTTCAAAATTTTTAACACCTAATTATGTTAGAAGCATAAGAGGACAATAAGAAGCTTTGTTAATACCAAAAGCATTAAATATTATGTTCTACTGGGTAATAATAAACTCTTTAACTATACCGTGACTCAGAGGATTTTGTTTAATAACTTTCTTTATGCCATTCTTCATAGTATTTAAGACCATTTATGGAATTAAAATCGTTTTTGCTATCGTTTTGTTGATATTTTTTGTACATGGATAAACTATTTAAACAATTTTTTTCATCTCATCCTACATTACCTCTCCTGTGTATATATATAATTATGAAATTTATTGTTTTTGTAATTAAATGACTATGCATCCGTATCAATGTGCACCCCGAATATTTTGCTCTTATCCTCCATCAAATTCAACACAATGCGTTGGGGGCAAAAAGGGCCTGTTTGGCATTTTTGTAGAAACTACAGATATATTAATTACTTATATGATTTGTTATTTGTTATAAATTTCATGTAATATAGTTTATTGTTTTTTGGGTGAAACTTAGCATACCTGTGATGCAATATATATCATCAAAGATTTGAAATGCTACCTTCGACAAGCTGTGAGCAACATAGTCACCATATATTTTATGGAAGAGAGTGAAAAATCAAAGTTATGAACTGAAAGAGAAATTAATATATTAGCATTATAATAAAATATAATATTTACAATAACAAATTATAAATAAAATAATTTAGTTTTCAAACTCAAATACTCGTAATAATTTAATTAATGCATTAACAAAAGAAAACATGGGTTGGTTGCCAGGGCAAAGGGGGAAGAGGAGAAGAGAGCGGTGGCCGTTGGAGGCTGTCAGAGAAGGATCAGTTTCACTTCAATTAAAAAAAATGGAAAAATTTTTAGAAAAAAGGGCCAAAAAAAAAAAAAAAGGAAACAAAACAGTTGTGGGATGAATTCAATCTTCCGACACCACAAGGGACAAGCCCTAGAGTTGAACTTATCAAAAAAAGACAACTCTTTTGTGCGTGTGTTTGTATGGATTTAGATTAGATTCCCCGAGAGTTATTAATTATACCATTAAATTATCGTCTAATAAAAAGAAAATCACAAACTTAATTTTTTAAGAAAAATCAATAAAACTATTCACTTCAAGTCTCCAACTCCATCAAATCATAATCTCACAGTTAATGTTTCTTTATTGAAGAAATCTAAACTTGCGCTTGCACTGTGTCTCCCTTCATCTCTTTCAATATACAAGCGTGATTTTTAAAATTTTTTATGGATATGTTGATTCCCCTTCCTAATAATTCTTGTTGGCAGTCACTGTATAATATACTAAAGTGTCTTTTTTTAATGATAATTATACCACTCTTCGAGATGATGTTGACATTGTTTTTGAATGTTGAAAAATAAACGAAGGAGCATTGCCTGAATATGATTCCCTACAATGACAAGCAACATAAATAAATTTGGGGGCTGACTTCACAATATTAATTATTGTAACTCATAAAAATAAAACCACACAGTTTTTATAGGCATATAATACACATAAATTTCAATCGTTAATTGAAATTTCTTTCAATTGTCATCTTCTTTCAATTTTATAATTTAGTGAATTAAAAAATTAAAGAGATTAGGTTATTTTGAGTTGGAGTTTAAGAATTGAATTGATAATTAAAAAAATTCAGGACCAAAATTGTATTTTACAGATATTTATTATGAAACTTTCATATATATGAAGGTTTTTTTTTGTAAATTTTAAAACTTCATAGTCCTCTCCTCCCGGTGGTTCTAGATGGAGAATGCAGCCAAAATAGAAATCACTTTGTGGGAGGCTACGAGGGATTCCGATATCTTATATGCTTGGAGTTGGAGAACAAAATAATAGTCACTTTGAAATTTTAGAATAATAATTAATTATAGACCATAACAAAATATCAATTATAGTTCTTATTGTCATCCGAGACATTAATAGTATATTTTAGCATTGGCAGAAATTAATGTGCGTTAAACTATTATTATTTTTATTTGGAGGTGTTTGCAGGTTTTTTTTCCCTTCTTGGATTCAACAATTAATGGAAGTAATATTTATTATTAATTGCATTAGTACGTTACATGTACCGCACTTAGTTTTAATTTAAGGTCGCTATTAAACATTTAGTTGCGAGCGAAATGTTGATTAAATAAAACAAAATAGCGCGGATCCAACAATTAATAACAACAATAAAATTGCTGGTTTAAATAATTAAATCTAACAGTTTATTGGGTTGCACATGTGCGAGACAATAACTATTGAACGAGTTAAATCTTCTTAGCAAAACGATGAATATCACTTATATATTGATAATCATTAAATTATAAATTAGTAAAAAAGAATATCAGACCACTAGAAGTCATTTATATATGGAACGGGTTAAGCCTTTTTTAATTTATTATTTAAATTAAAAATAGTGATTATTATACGTTTAAATTGAAATTAAAAATTTAGTATCTTCAAAAGAGATAGACATGATATTCATCTCCTGAACTTAAAAAAAAAAAAGTAAAAAAGGATGCTGCTTGATCATTGAATATGTTCCGGCCAAAAACAAAAGAAGATCACCGAATATATACCCGCTCGATACACAGTACGCACCCCACAAAAGGCATTGCAATTAAATTTTTGTTGTGGACAAATTAAACTTGTTTTTAATTAATGACATTATTTACTTAAGCTAAAACACGTTGGAGCATTGAAACATGGAAGCTGGAAATTTTGAATATCAACATCAAAATTTTAAAATACAGAGGAAATTAAAGCAGTGGGAATCAAACTTTGGGGAGAAAGCTAAAGTTGAGGGCTTTGTCCCTTCCACATTAAGTTTCAACTCAACTTCTGTGAAGCACGAAGCTTTTCTCTTCTCTCTTTGTTCTTTCTTTTGTGGGGATGATCATGAATATAAGTGTACAGGAAAGAATAAGTTCAAAATGTGATTCTGATATGATTCATAGTGAAAACATTGTCCACTTTATCAAAAAGCTTCTCAAATCATCATGCATATATGGTTTACTCATACGTACGGGCCCGTGCACTTGGTGTTGTCTAGGTATCTGGTTCATCCAAGGATATCAATAAAAGTTGGGGAATAATCCAAGATTATCCTTTCTCTTTAGAAAACGTAACAGAGCAATACATTTATGATTGATTCTTACGTGGAATAATAAATTACTCCCTCCTGTCCCTAGTTAAGAACGAGACAGGGTATTGAATTTGATCATAAATATAAAATATTAATCTATTTTGTCTCCTTAGTCCCTAGTTTATAATTTAATCTTCAAAATATCCTTATTAATTATATATATTAAAAAAAGTTTTTGTTCAGAGGTTAATCATAATAAAAAATGATACTTTTAAAAAATGAATTTAACTAATTTTCTTAATATATTAAAGATTGGGGTGGTATCTTTGTTTTTGGTGTTGCAAAATTGGTAAAAAGGGAACCTGGCTTTCGTGGCAGAATTTAAAGCAGCATGCTTGAGATACCAATGCACGACTTGTTCAAAGGATATTATTATACAAGGCCAGATCACAGGGTTTTATGCGCACATCCACATGTTGTGAGGCCAGGGTTTTCCTCTATATTATTGATATGTTTGTAGGCAAAGCAAATTAATTAAATTAAGTTACAACAATTAAAAATAAATATGGAAAAGATGAGTGATTGTGTGTGTATCAAAGGTTGACACCTCATGTAATTATTTAATTTGTTGAGTTTGCTTCGATGTTTAGGGAAGCAAACACGTCCTATCTCAACTGACGATTTATATATATTTTAGACATCAACATATTTGAGATAAGAGAGAGAGCTTTTTTTTTTTTGGGTATTTTGAGTGGGGAAAAAGTAATTGGAGTATTCAAAAACACTAAAATATGCGCCGCCTTTTAAAAACGTATATATGGTACTGGAGAATACTCCAAAAGAAAAATGTTCATATCTTGTTGGAATTCTTTTTTTTTTTTTTCTCGATGCTTGGTTGACACTGATCTGAAGATGTGACCTTCCCTTTTGATAAAATTCCACATATAGTGGACTTGTCACAGACAAATATTGTCCATAATTAAAAATAAATAAAGTTAGCTAGGAATTAAACTTGATCCAAAATTATAAGATTCTAATATACTTTTGTTTCATAAATTTGTCATTAATTTAAACTAACTTATCTAACTTGTAATTTGATATATGATTTAATATTATATAGAAATATTTCAGATAAACCATGTTGCATATGCTATAATTAATTAATTAATTATATTTTATTTTTTAATCTATTCAAATTAATTAAATAACTTTTATGCTATCTTTCCACAACCATTTTCCTCCTTTAAAATTAGTAACATCCACTTTTGAGTTTAATCATGGACCTAGAATCTAAAGGATCACTGTAAATGCTTATATACGCCAAGAACAGTTCTCATCAATCACAACCACTCAATTAGTCGTCCATTTTTTGTATATGCTTATTGGAGAGTTTCACATTTTTTGTAACTAAGCTTAAAACTAGGGTAAAGGTAATCTGCATCCTGATCTTACTTTTCAGACACAGTTAGTATTTTCATATTTTGTATGGTGCATCCACGGCACCTTGATTTTATTTTATTTTATTTTTTGATACATCCGGCACTCCAATATTATTTTTAGAGCATCCAACACCTTAGAAATTATAGTGATGGGTGTAACTGAAAAATAACATCAGGATCTTAGATGCACTCAAAAAATAAGAGCAGGATGTTAAATGCATAATAAAAAAGATCAAAATACTAAATGCATTTAAAAAATAAGATCATAATGCTTAATGCACCGTTATCCTTAAAAATATTAATGATCATTTTCTAAGAATAACTCCATTTCTCCCTTTTTCTATAAAATAGTTTCAATTGTTTTACACATATCACTAAAACGTAGTTATTCAATTAACGAGGTATAAAAGTAGCCTAACTTTTCATTTTGTTTTTTATCACATTCAATTAGTACAGGCTTGTTCTTAAGATTTAACAAATTTACAATTACACGCTTATTTAATATCGAGAACAAAGTTTATACAACAATAATAAAATTGTACATTTCCATAAAAAAATTAATAATATGGCTTATAAATACAACAAAAAAAATCTTCTCTCTAATGTAGAAACAGGATCAAAGGAATATAATTAACCCCTCGTATTTAGAGATAAAAAAAGTTAATAATTTTATGCCTAATGTAATGTAATGACATAAAAGCTGCCTACAAAAGTTCCCCAATAGGTGGGACAATGTGCGTTTTTTCCTGTTTGTATCCATCCCCTTAATTTTAAATAAAAAAATTCCTATAAAAAAAGAAAAAGAAAAGGAAGGAGTATTAATGGAGCCACGGATGAATATAAACAAGGTCAAATACACAGTGGCAAAATGTTGAAAACTTGAAGAAGCAGACTTATAGGGCACCCAGGATTAGAGTCGATAATATGGGTTGAGCCCCTATAAGGTGACGGTTGGGTTGAAAAAAATAGAAACCATTTTGATGCGGGTTGAAACCTGCCAACCTTTAAAATTTTTTTTACAATTTTTATTTTTATTTTAATAAGAAATTTTTTTTATCATTTTTACTTAATTTACATACAACTTTGTATTTTGTTAGAGGCTTTGATTTTAAATTTGATTTCTCATTTTTTTATTGTTTTACGATTTTTATAGTAATAAAATAATTTTAACAATGAATTATATGTTTATATTTCAAATTTTGAGATTAATTTAATTATAAAATTATATGAAAATATAAGAATAAGAAGAATTTGGTCTATAAAAACTTATAATTTAACTTAAAAGACTTTAAAAATATGTGTAAGAAAATTTTTTAAAAAATGATGGAGGTTGGAGGTAGAGCTAGTAAAGCGGGCTAGCAGTGCAGATACGGGCCAGCCCACTGCAGTGCGGGCCAAAAACGGTGTGGGTTGGCATTTTGGCAGCCCGAGATCGCCAGCCCGCCTAATTTTTTTAAAAAAACTATTATTATTAGTATGAATTGGACTTAATTTGAAATGTCAAAATTAGATTTGGAGTCTTGAACTTGAGTAATAGGTTATAATAAAATAATATGAAGATTAATTTGTAATTTAAGAAGATATTTTAGAAAAACTAACACATATTTGTTTATAAATAATTAATTTAACTACTCATATTTAAAGTGCTAAATTATATAAGCAATGATATGAATGAGATAATGTTCATATAGAATTTGAGGGTCAAAATCCTCTAATTATATTATACAATATAATGTAAATTTCATGAAAAAGTTAAAAAAAAAAAAAAAAGGCTAGCTCGTGGCAGAACGGGCTAAAAACGGTGCAAACTATAGTAGCCCACACCTTGACGGGCTGGTAAAATGCCAACCCGAGCCTGCCTTTTTTTACGGGCTGGGCTCACAAGCCCAATCTAAGCCTGCTTTAGTTGGCAGGACAGCTGGCAAAATATGAGCCTGTCAAGAGGTGGTGTTTTAAAGACCGACCTGCATAGTCTCGGGCCCATGACAGGCTGACCCGTAACCGGCGGGTCAACCGTTTTGCCACCTCTACCCAGGATTCATATTAAGAGGGGGAAAGGTGGGGACGCTGAAACTGCTCTAACTTAAATGAAATTAATGGTGTTAGCAAAAAAAGATAAATGAAATTAATGGAATAAAGTCAATTAATGCGGCAACCCTGCATCAAATCATCAGATAAAATTAAATAATTAATAAACAGGACAGCCACTTTAGCCTTGAAGATGCCTTTCTCAAGTATATATATCTTCCCCTCCTCTTCATTTTCTGCAACTTCCCAAGGATCTCAACTTCCAACACAAACATGGAAAACAGGCTTGGATTGGCTTGTTGGAGCTTCCTCGTCGGTGCTCTTCTCTTGTTTATGGTATTAATTAATCTAAATTTCGTCAATCAATCACTTTTGTTTGACACACATATTGTTTATCTATTTGTTGACTTTATTGATTCATGATGTAATTTTTCAGTTTTTGGAGAGTCTCTGTTTCTGTTTCTGTTTCTCATTCTATTGATAGTTCGGATTACAACTGTGTCCGAAGTTTCAGTTTCATTCTTTTTCCTCATTAATTCTGCAGCTCGCATGTGACGGTGGGACTAGAAAGATAACAATAGCATTTGGGAGAGATATTGAACTGAAAGAAGCATCAACTGACCTGCAGAATCTTGAAACAGATGGCCATGTTCTTCCTAAAATTACCCAGGCTGGAGAAGAACATAAAAAGATGAAGGGAAAGCATAACAATCATATGGACCCAGAACTGAACCTGTATTTCATCCCAAATGATCTGAAAATAGGCAAGAAAATGCCAATCTATTTTGCCCAGAAAAACGCTTCAGCTTCTCCAAAATTTCTTCCCAGAGAAGAATCTGACAAGATCCCTTTCTCATCCAAGCACTTACCTTCCCTCCTGAAACTTTTCTCTTTCCCCAAACACTCCCCTCAAGCCAAGGCCATGAAATACACACTCAAACACTGTGAATTCCCGCCCATGGAAGGCGAAACCAAGTTCTGTGCAACTTCCTTAGAATCCCTCCTTGACTCTACAAGACAAATCTTCGGACCCAATTCTGAATTCTCAATGTTGTCCACAACCCACCTCACAAATTCCTCTGTTCCCTTACAGAACTACACAATTTCACAAGTTAAGAGCATCTCTGTCCCTAGAGTTATAGGGTGCCATCCTCTGCCATACCCTTATGCAGTTTTTTACTGCCATAGCCAACAGAGCGATACTTGTTTGTTTGTGACCATGCTTGAGGGTGAGGATGGAGCAAGAGTTAAAGCTCCTGCAATGTGCCACATGGACACATCTATGTGGAGCAAAGATGTTGTGGCCTTCGATGTCCTTAAAGTTCAGCCTGGAACTTCCCCTGTCTGCCATTTCTTCCCTACTGATAACCATGTCTGGGTTCCTCTGTCTTCTGCTCTCTAATAACATTCACAGAATAGTGAGATTTAGACATGATATGTTAAGTTTGTGAGGAGTCTCCGCATCTAGCGGAGAACTCTTTTGTGAGTTTTGACTTGTAAATATAGTTTATAGATCACATGTTACGCAGTGTTTCTTTAAAGTTGTTTGGTAAAACAGCTGAAGCCTGCCTATCGACTGTATGAGCTTCTGTGTCGGTAAACTGCTAGTTTATGAAAAACCTTTGTGCTACCCAGGGGACTAGTTAACTTATTTAGAGAGATTAAGTAAGTTAATAAATTAAAGTATTTATATTTATGGTTTTTTTTTCAAACTAATTTACCACTATTATAAATTGATATATAATCTAATGATACACAAGTATTTTAAAGAGATTAGTCATTTAGTAATTTCTTTAATTTCTTTAAATTAGTGAATTGGGTCTTATATTAAGGATTAAAAGTAGTATTTAATTAACAAAATGTTAAAGACTTAACTAGACTATTCTCTGTATTAGTTAGGCCTTCTCTGGTCCGCTTAAAAGAAACATTTCTAATGGAATAAATATAGATATGGAAAATATATGTACAATATTCATCAAAATTCAAGCAAAATGTCTTTTGTGATATGACAGAAAGAGAAAAATGCGAGCAATTAGATCTCCAGATTTCTAAAATTTATAATGAATTTTAAATAATCTAGAGACAAATTCATTAATTAATAGGACTAAAGCTTCTTCAATATCTAATTTTTTTAATTCATGTAACGTTTAAATTAAATATATTACTACTTGAGAAAAAACAACTCCTCGTTATTTAGGTCAACAAATATTAACGAAGCCTTATCTTCCATTGTTAATTGCACCAAAATTAAAAAAGAGTTTGGTACGATGATTTCAAACATCACACAAACCCACCGGAGTCAATTTTCCAGACAGGGCAGTTTTCTAATTGATTTTTTCCCACGAGTCACAATGATTTTTTTTTTTTTTGAAAAAGAGCAAATTCATTATCATGTCATTTTATTTGTCAGTTTATGGCAAGGCAGTTATTTGCGATTACAATTTGAAATGATCTTTTTTAATTTATAAACATGATTAATGTAATATTCTCCGCTTTTATTACGAGGAACAAATACCTGCTTCCTATATCAAAAAGGTAACTTAATCTAGTTTTATGCTTTAAATATGTAGTTAAATGATTTTTTTTTTTCAATAATACCCTTGAGAAAATTATATGAAAAATATGAGAGAATATTTGTCTCTTGTTTAATAAGGATACAGGTGATAAAAAGAATAATAAATGTTTTAAATAAAAGCAAATTGTTCTTATGATAAGGAACCAAACTACACTCTCATTTGTTCCTTAAAACAGAAATGGAGTATTATGTTTGACGATTAAAGATATTTTTTTAAAAAGGAAATTTTTTCCTGACCTTTGTAATTTGTATTGTGTGAACTGTGCTGGATTTAGAATAATATTGTTCATTGAAGTCAAAATAAGAGCTGCCAAGATGATAGGGTGAGGATGGACAATGAAGTTGAACATAAATATATATATAAATAAATGCATCAATTATGCTCAGGCGAGTTCAACGATAAGTTATCAGTATTTGATGCGTCCATTAAGAAAAAAAATTGAATTATCTGGAAGATGTCGTAATTCTTAAGTTTAACTGCATATGACAGGCATATTAGAAAATGAATAAGTATTCCTCAATTATTGTAGTCATTTATATTCTATAGCTTTATTAAATTATACAATGACTGAATTGTTGCCACTGGCTGGAATAATTATTATCCCACTTATTTGAAGGGCTCAATTTTGGTCTTTTATCCTATATTATGTTTGGATGGAGGAAAAACATGAGAAGAAAATAGAAAGAGAAAATATTGAGAAGAAAAACTCTCAAAAATAAGAAAAAATTTACTATTTTAGAAAGTTTTTTCTCCTAGTATTTTTGTGTCGCCAATTTTTTCTTTCATTTAAATAAAGAGGTTAGCATTGAGAGCAAATGGTTTCTGTTGTTTACAGCCACAGGTAGGGTGATTGGGTGGTGAAAAAGGCTAAACGACCTGTTAGGGGTTATGTCTGGGTCTATTGGCCTGGCCTGTTTTTTAAAAGAGACAGGCTCAGGCCTATTTGAAGGCCTGTCTAACTAAATAAGTCAGGTTTAGACTTTTTAAAAAGCCTATTAAGCCTTTTAGGCTGACCTGGACTTATAAAAATTTATAATTATAATATATAAAAAAATAGTTAATGTTATTATTGGTAATGTACTCTTTTAATTTATTTTCTAATTTTAATATATAGTTAATACCTTAATCTTTTCTTAATTTTGAAGTTTAGTTGACAAGTGAAGATAAAAAATAAAATAATTTAAAATGATAATATCAATAAATAATGTGATCTTTAAATCTTAAAAATATAAAGAAAATAGGAAAGGAAAATTTTGTTTGAAGAAATAAATTAATTAACTTATATATTATGTTAATTTAAGTATGATACCCTCTTTATTCATTATAAAATTAGTAGTTTTTTTCCTCTTTATTTATGTGTCTTAATTTATTTTTTTTATGTGCTTAAACGTAGTCTTGTTCTAAATCTTAACATATAATTATAACTAGTTTTCAATAATATCTTTCTAATTATAATTAAGATTTAAAATAGTACTTATGATACTAAAATTTAATAAAAGACAAGACTAAAAAATTAATTATTATGTAAATTTTTTAATCTTAGATTTTTTTTAAAAATATAATTGTAATTTGAATTTTTTAAATGTAGGTTTTTTAATAGGTTTCAGGCCAGGCCAGGCTCAGGCTAAAAATAAGCCTGTAACAGGCTACAGGCCAATAGGCTCCAAAACAAGCTTGGCCTATTAAGAGCTAGGCTGACCTGGCTGTTAAGAGCTAGGCCTGACCTGGTCGGGCTTGTTTCCATCCTTATTTACAGGGTAGATTCATTTTTTTTCCTCTTCAGAGATTTTCTCTCGCTAGTATTTTTTTTTTGCTAGAGCATAAGTATGCTTCTATTGGAAGTAATCCTATTCGAGGTATTATCGGGTATTAAATGTGGGCACATCTTCTAAGTTAGGATTCGAATCTTGATTCGCCGCATTGTAAGAGACTAGCTGCTTCCGCTAAACCCAACCCTGCCTAAATGGGCCTGGGCCACATTTGGATAACCATCGTCGAAGCAGAGAGAAGATCGCCCAGTGGGCTTTTCCAGAACCGAACTTTTGTGGAATAAAAAATCTTTAAAAAAACACTACTTGTCGCTGCTTCAGCTTTTGTTTTCCGCTTCTCTGCCTGCATAATGGTAGCTCCGGCCATCTCCGTTCCCGCGACTGCGAACTTATCTATCGCTTTTCGCAACGCAAACTCGTCCAACCTCGTTTATTCTCACAGGTTCGTATATCTATTATCAATTGACGTGATTTATTGCGTCCAAGTGGAATTATACTACTTTTTACCTCTAATTATGAGTTGGGTTTCTGTGAAACAGCAACCCATGGTCGATCGCTTCTTCCTTGCCAAGTCCATACGGGGACCCGACAAAGATAGGTAATTCCCCTATTTATTGTTATTTTCAGCTGGAATTGAAAATTTAGTAGCCATTCAAAACTAAGAAAGACGAAACTATCTGGGCAACTTGTTTCATCCCAATGCTTCCTATTTGATGCAATTAGTGCCGCGAGTAAGCGGTAACTAGTATAGTTTTTCACGGTAGGTGACTCGTATATGATTTCAAACTTAAAATGTATATTTTATTTGTATAATGATTTCAAACTTAAATGTATATTTTATGTATATATGATTTCAAACTTAAACTGTATTTTGATGTATGTGTGTTTTGTTGGTCTGACCAAATACATTTTACAAATTGCGTTTATGTATGACTTATGTGGTCGCGAATTCTGCATGTGGGCTATTTCATCTTGACAGTGTGAAACATTGTTTTGATATGTCATTTTTATTTAATCCAGGTTTCGCGAGTAAAAGCCGTGGTCTTCCTTTAAAACTTGATGAGAAAAGCATCTATGATGCTAGCACAAGGCATGCAATTATCCCTTTCCTCATTCAATTGCTTCGAGTACCATCATGTTACTATTGACCAATTCTGTTATTTTTGTTATGTTCATGGCCTTGCTTTGCGATTGATTGTATTTGGATGGTATCTTTATGCTTGTTGTGGAAAAATTTGTTTAAAAGAATTTCATTAGAAAACATAACAGAAGCTTTCAGCTAATATGTTGAAGAATGATGATAAATACCATGAACCATCTATACGGCAAACTGTGGCTAGTCATTCCATAGCTTGACTGTAAACATCTTTTATAAATGCTTTAGATTTCTTCTGAATCATTAATGCAAATTCTCCCCCCCCCCCCCCCGAAAGAATATGGAAAATGTGAAGCTGAATCTTTGTTCCATTGGATCTGTATGTTGACGGGCTCTCATACGAGCTTGAATTTTTTTTGCTTTGTCTTTTCATTTTTGGCCAGTTGAATGTGAGCAAAAAACTTATCTATTTTCCATTTTATTTGTAGTTATGGTGCAATAGAGGCTAAAAAGGGGAATCCACCCGTAATGCCAGCAATCTTCACTCCTGGAGGACCTATGGATCTATCATCTGTGTTGTTTAGAAATCGTATAATATTCATTGGACAGCCAGTCAACTCACAAGTGGCTCAGAGAGTTATATCGCAGCTTGTGACACTAGCTACTATTGATGAGGATTCGGATATACTGGTTTGATATGTCTTCACAATTGTCATTTTACTTTTGTAGAGCTTGGAATGGTATTATACTCGGCTGCTTATAACTGTAGGTATATTTAAACTGCCCTGGTGGAAGCACTTATTCAGTGTTGGCAATTTATGATTGCATGTCTTGGGTAAGATTGTAAAACTTTTCTCATTTTGCCCCTGATGATTTACCTTCTGAACCCAATTACATCATTTCCACCTTAGCTAGTTTTCAAATCCTTGTGGTTAATGTTCCTCCTGTGAAAGCGTTTAACCTGCTCCATTTGTTTCCAGATCAAGCCCAAGGTTGGTACAGTGTGTTTTGGGAGTAGCTGCAAGCCAAGGAGCTCTTCTCCTTGCTGGTGGGGGGAGAAAGGGATGCGGTACTCAATGCCAAATGCACGCATTATGATACATCAACCTCAGAGTGGATGTGGAGTAAGAATTGCCC